GGTAGGGGATAGGCCTATAGCTACCCTATATATATTATATTAATATTAAAGGGCTCTAGCCCCCTTTTATAATTCTATCTAAGCTATAAAGGAGAGTAATAATCTAAATAATTATATATATAGTTATAATAATTGCTAGATACCGCCATATGCTCATAGATCATATTGAACCTTAGGGTAGCTATTGATATCATAATAGGGTAGCTACAGGCCTACTCCCTACTCTCATGTAACTCAAAAACTCTACTCTCATATGATGAACATTATCCCACTAGAATACCATTCTGCAAAGGAAACAGCCCCTGAGGAAATAAAGATAAGTACTGCTGCCTACTCCACACTAATATCTATTAGAAACTCAGAATTTAAGCTGCATTGTCATTACATACACTGCTTTCCGTGGGTTACCTAGGTCAGGCTGTCAATCCCTATGGGCCAATCTCAATCCACAAATTTCCAGGATAATGCATATCCCACTGATCCTTTGTCCAAAGAGAGGAAAGCAGATTATTATGAGCTCCTGGGGATACAACATGACGCCTCCACAGATGAGTGAGATTATAAATCTATAGACCCGCCATGTGTCTGTTAGGCTGACAATATTCTCTTCGAATCTCATCAAGAATAAGGAAAGCATACAAAAGAAAAGCTCTCGAGCTGCACCCGGATAAAAACTATGGCAATGTTGAAGCTGCAACGAAACTATTTGCAGAAATCCAAACTGCATATCAAGTTCTTTCAGATCCCCAGGAGCGCGCATGGTATGATACTCACAAAGATGCATTTTTGAGTCGCGATGAGCAGCCAAGTAGTAGCGAATACTGCTATGATAGCCGTATGACAACCTCTGGTGACATCTTAAAGCTGTTCTCCAAGTTCAGTCCTCGAATGGAATTTTCGGATTCTCCATCCGGATTCTTCGGCGGCCTTCGAGCGGTATTTGCCCGGCTTGCTCTCGAGGAAGAAATGGCATGTCGCGCAGACAAGTTGGAGTTTGTCGGTTATCCGACCTTCGGGTCACAAAGTGATAATTTTGAAGACGTCGTACGGCCCTTTTATACCGTCTGGTGTAGCTTTTCAACCAAGAAATCTTTCTCCTGGAAAGATATTTACCGGTATTCTGAGGCTCCAGATCGTCGCGTGCGCAGATTGATGGAGAAAGAAAACAAGCGGTTGAGAGAGGAAGGTATCCGCGAATTCAACGAAGCTGTCAGATCGCTTGTGGCCTTCGTTAAAAAGAGGGATCCGCGTTATAAAAGAGGCATCCAAAGCGAAGCGCAGCGCCGGGAGCTCCTCCGTCAAACTGCCGCTGCACAAGCTGCTAAATCAAGAGCAGTAAATCAAGCAAAGCTGCGTGAGCATGTCATACCTGACTGGGCGAAGTCAGAAGAGGCTGAGGAAGAGAATCCGGATAGTTCGGGATCTGAACTTGAGCAGTTCGAGTGCATCATTTGCCGGAAGGCTTTCAAGAGCCTGAATCAATTCAACGCACATGAACGTAGCAAGAAACACGTCAAGGCCGTCAAACAGCTTCGCTGGGAGATGAGAGCAGAAAATGAGTCCCTCAATCTTGACCAGTATATGGCGCCGTACAGCGACCATGCTCAGCTAGAACAATGCAACGACGACTCAGCAGCTTCCTCCTTCAGTCATGAAGAGAGTGGTAAGGTCCAATGTGGACGCACTGCTGATGCTGATCAAAACATTGCACCCATCATGGAAGACACGCAAGAGGAAAGTGGCCGCGAATTCACGGAAGCTGATACCATATTTCCTGTGACACATGCTAGCCACGAATCGAGCGCAACCATTCTCAATCCCTCAGGCTCGGACGATGTCTCTGAGAGGGCAGATGATGCTGTTGAATTACTATCTCAACAAATGTCAACCTCCGCCTTGGGTCAGAGTCAATCGACTGAAATCAAAAAGATTGGCAAAGCCAAACAGAAACGCGCTCGAAAGGCGGCTCAGCAGGCTCAGGGTCAACATCCCGGATTGATTTGTACCTCTTGCAACGCTGCGTTTCCATCCAAGACTCAGCTTTTTGCACACTTGAGGAGGTATGACCATGCCGAGCCGCCAATAAGGTAGCAAAGACTAGCATTTGAACAAGCCCTTTTAAGACCTAGGTGACTGTTATTGATTTTTATCCGCCCGTTCCCTCATCCGTGTCGTAGTGAAACGGTGACGTGGACGTAGATTTCTCAAACATCATGGTTTTGCGGGTAATCATAGTCAAAAATACAATAATTGCCTTGTTATATCATAAGGCATTCTAGCAGGGACACTTTCCAGGTTCATGCCATTCATTCATCGTCCCATGAAAGGAGATTCGAAGCGCGACAGGCTTGAGTGTTGAAACCTCTATCATCATTGCAGGTCCACCACTTAGCCTTAGAAAGACAACCGCAGAAGATGCAACTAGGGACTGTAAGATCCCTCGACACTATCTACCCTAGGCCAGCCTTGGAATTCTTCACGACGTGCGCAACAGGTAACAGAATGCCTTTGTTGTTTATGGCACCGAGCGGAGTCCCCAAACTCCATCCCATCCTTTCAAGCATAGCTCTTCCCTTATTTTCCGCTCCAATTTCCGGTGCTGATGCTCCAACGACGTCACCTTCCATATAGCTGACAGATGATGTAGGGCGACCACGAGAAACCTTCGCCAGTTTCTGGTTGTTCCGGGGCCGTGCCTTGGGGCCACGGTGAGAGAATTGAGGTTTCGATAATATTTTTTCCACCTGTGCGATCGTTTTCTGTGTATGCTTTGGGGTGCGGGAAGTCTTGTACAGCATGGGAAACCTGGACGAGCCTTTGCCGCGGGACTGTGATTTGAGTGACAGTGCGCCCGCCATGTCATGCACAACCTTCCTGTAATGTTTAGACATGGGCGGAAGAGACAAGCTGAACAAAGTCCGGGTTTCAGTACTCCTGGTTTTAAAACTTTCAATACCGGCTGCAGGAAAACTCGTACCTTTCTTTCGAAGATAGCAAGAAACTACGCATCTCCGATCTCAGATCATCGACATCGAAGCCACTCGAATACTTCGCTCTGAGATCAGGCGCATTTGCATTCCGACCGAGCAGGCCTCCAGCACGAAGCTCTTCTCTCTTCTGTTTCCTTGTTTTCTTCTTCTCTCTGTCATTCCGCCACGCCCGTTCCAATTGCAGTTCCAACTCGCTATCGGACAATGACAGATCAAAAGCACGCTGCTTCCCTTTTGTTTTGTTCCGCAGGCTGGGTCTGTTGAAGTCCATTATATCGAATCCATAAAATGGGTCCGATTCCAACGCATCAGCAAAACCCGTTGCCGAAGCAAAATGATTTCCCTCTGCTTTGCTGCGGTTACGGTGCGGTCGAGACAGACAACTACTCTCTGTTTCGATCTCCGAGTGCTTGCCGATTCCCTTCGTTTCGGTATCACTGCATTCGGAAGAGCTGGTGGAGCTATGTTTGTCCGTCGAACTTGTGCAAAGGACCGCAAATCCATTCGATTTAGCAGTAAACCCTGGTGGCTTCAGCATAAGATAAGTATTTGGATGCAGTTGACTGGGCATACCTCCGGAAGCCAGATCAGGGTCACTCTCATCTTCACATTCAGCCAACATTTGACCGCGTTCGCATAGGATTATTCCCTCCCCATTGTTTGGTGGACCGGAGCAGTTGGCATTGGCCGGTTTTGCAGAGACAGGTGTTTTCGCCGATCTGTCTATTTGACCATTGCCGGACTCCGTGCTTGTACTGCGAGATAAATCAGTCCACTGATAGTAGTCTCCGTAGTCATCGTCAATGTTCGCTATGTAGTCGGCCAATATATCATTTTCTTCATCTTCGAGAAGTCTCGAATATTGCTCCCTAATTGATGGACGTCTGGACTTGAAGGGTATAAAATCAACAGTCTCAACAATCGCACGTGGTTGTATTCGCTCGGTTCTCTCCGGCAATGTAGATTTTGCGGCATGCAGTGGGTCGCCCGACGCGTTTTCTATTGTGTGACATGATTGTGTCGATATTTTGTGGCTGTGATGCGGTAGCCAAGGCTGCGTTGAGCCGTTAATCTGCGGGCTAGGTTCGTGTCCTCTGCGATAGTCGGGGTTTTCATGCTCTTTTCGACGAGCAGGGCTCCTAGCGTTGTGCTGCCTGGATGGACTTGATATCGGAGATCGGTTTCTGTTAGATGGTCCTCGAACGTACTTTGTTTTTGTTTTAAGGTGCCGTCCAGTGAACACTATCTCATCCTCGCTGGTGTTATCCCCTCCGGTGGCGATATGGTCTATATGCTCAGTATCCGTGGCAATCTCCTCATTCGGTGCAATAATAGTAGGGTGTGGATATCGCATGGACTCTCTGTCTGATTGTTCTGGGGGCAGTTTAGGTGAGGTCATTGCTATTCCCTTGTGCTGCATGTCCAAACTTTCCTTGTTTCTCTCGTCATTTTCTTGTAGACCTGCACTCACAAACTGCACCGCCTGATGGCGAAAATTAGTACCCGTCCGCCATATATTGCGCCCCTCGGTGTTTCGTGCTTCTTGCTGCATAGAGAGCTGGGGATGCCTGTGGGCTGCAGCAAGTTAGTTAGTTATGGTCGGTTGGTTATATGAGAGATGATGTACCTGTGTGTGAAGATTTCGTCACAACCTTCTGGTTGTTCGTGCGTACTTTCACCCTGCTGTGGCGAGCCATGTCTTCCACCCTTTTTGCTTTCTGAGATCGATTCTCTGCGTATGCCCTCTTTGGTTCAATGTCGATTGCCTCTTTTACACTGAGTAGCACGCTGGCATTGTATTTTTTCTGAATGCATTCCACACGGTTCTTATATGTTGGAAAAAAAAGGGTCTGCTGGGTTCTCTTAGAAGGTGGAACTTGGTGGAGTCAAGATTTACCTAGTCTGTCTTCCATTGACATTGAAGGCGGTGTATGTGGTGTACGCATGTGATGTGCTTATCATTATCTTTATCCGTGGTGGCAGCCTCCCTGTGACGGAAGTATGTCACTGGGTTCTTTTCGATGCTCATATAACTTTTATGGGTCATTACTGTGTTGCCATCGCAGGCTTTGTGTTTTTACGCGGTTGTCATGCATGTCCTTGTGGTCAAGTAGATGATTGTGAGTTCTAGACTGTAACATACCACACCCGCTACGGCAGTTGAGATAATATATATATATCTGTGTGTGTGCTGCACGTATACAATAGTCTCGTGACTGATGCTGTATGACGGAACCCCTCATTAAGAGAACAATTACTGAGACCACCGCTAGCCATAGATCATCATATCAACAACGGATGACCCTACACAGTTGTATGTATAGTCCCTACACAGCCACACCATTTCGGCAACAGTAGGCCACTGAGATGAACCTTCATATACTGATGTGCACAGGCAGCAAACCAACGTTGACGTGAAACCTATACCAACAATATAGAGCAAACTAGTCAGCTAGAGCGCCTCAGCACCCCGCAGAGACCGACATACAGACTTTCCCAAGACGCCATTCAAAATGAATGGGGTAGACATGGAACGTTGCAAGCGCATTATACAGTATATCTGGGACCCTGCACCCAGGAACGATCAACCTGGAGACCCCATCTGGTGTCTGGGAACCAAATATACAACGGATGGTATGGAGAGAGCCAATAGACGCACCGGTAAGCCACGCGAGATGGAAAAGTCGTTGTCCCTCTTTGGGCTCATGCATCCACAGCAGCGCCCAAATCAATACGACTGGCAAACGAAGAAGGACCAAACCAGCTGGTCCCAAAGGCTACAACGCCGGGCCAATTAGACGAGCAGGGTTGGCCTGAATCGTTCCTTCACGACTTCGAATCAAGGATCTGGATTACCTACAGATCGAACTTCCCCCCAATACCGAAGCCTATCAATCAGGATGCGTTCTCCGCAATGACACTGAGCGTGCGACTGAGAAGTCAGCTCGTGGACCAGCACGGATTTACATCCGACACGGGATGGGGTTGCATGATAAGGTCAGGGCAGAGCCTCCTGGCTAACGCAATGTCCATATTGTTATTTGGCCGAGGTAACAACCATCGTCAACACTTTCACCGGTGTTCAAGCCGCAGTGAGCTAACGTGCCGACAGGTTGGCGTCGAGGAATCGACACCGATGGGGAAGCTCAGCTATTGTTACAGTTTGCAGATCACCCGGATGCACCTTTCTCGATACATCGGTTTGTCCAGCATGGTGCCGAGTCCTGTAACAAACATCCTGGGGAATGGTTTGGGCCCTCCGCGACCGCCAGATGCATACAGTATGTCGCAATTACATTGGGCCATTTGCGTAGCTCACATATGAATCTAGGGCACTCGTGTCTCAACATGGAAGCCTCAATCTTGGTGTTTACATGACCGATGATACAGCAGATGTGCATGAAGATAAATTCCTGGATGCTGCTCACGACGAGAGGGGGTCATTCAGACCAACACTGATATTAATTGGGACGCGACTGGGAATCGATCATATTACTCCCGTGTACTGGGACGCGGTAAAGACCACATTGCAACTCCCCCAATCCGTAGGAATAGCTGGGTACGTTATCTCATAAAGACCCAAGATTTCTGGACCAGTGGTGACCAAATCTGCAGTGGACGCCCATCAGCATCGCATTACTTCGTCGGTGTTCAAGGCTCGCACCTTTTTTACCTTGACCCCCATCAGACCCGCCCAGCGCTGCCACGGCGCAATATCGATGAACCGTACACAGATGAAGAGATAGAAACCTATCATACTCGACGCCTCAGGAGAATCCACATTCGAGACATGGATCCGAGCATGCTTATCGGCTTCATTATAAAAGACAGAGAAGACTGGGCACAGTGGAAGAGCGGGGTATCAGTTCAGGGAAAACCTATTGTACAAGTGCACAGCGAATCAGACACTGCTGTCTTTCACGGCCGTGAAGGGGCGATCGATGAGGTAGAGGTCTTGGATGATGATTGAAAACAGCGAATGCCGTGATATGCCAAGTATGGAGCTTCGAACAAAACGATCAATGTGGAACCGCTATTCAGTTTATGCCCAATCCTACCAATTCGAGGCGACTGTCAAGAATATGTTGCATAAGCAAATGAGATTCCGATTTATGGTAGGGGAAGGAAAATCGTGCAACCAGCCCCAAAATCCGAGTTATGTTACACCGCAGTCTCGTCGCGAATGAACCATGAACACATTCAACCCAAAGGGCATCAGGAGAGGGAAAAAAGAAAAAAGAAAAAAGAAAAAAATAATCAAACCATCCCATGACACATTAAAAAGATCCTCAAAACACCCTGTGACCCACCGCCTCAAAACCATGAAGATAAGGAGGCAGTAAAAATGACAATCCCGAGAAACAAACAAAAGGCGAAAGAAGCAACATGCCTATTTGGCGGAAGAAGAGTACTTCGTGACAGCCTTAGTGCCTTCCGAAACGGCGTGCTTCGCCAACTCACCAGGGAGGATGAGCCGAACACTTGGAAAAAGAATTAGTGTAATCCTTATAGTGGATAAGGGCTTTACTCACGAAGTCTGGATCTCCCTCGACGAGATGGTCGATTTCTTGTTGTAGGCAGCAAGCTTTGACGCCTCCGTGGCGACGCGCTCAAAGATATCTGTAATGGATTAGAATACACTTGGTTTAAAATGTTCTTGGGGTGCTGAAAATACCATTGACAAAGGAGTTCAGGATAGACATGGCACGAGTCGAAATACCGGTGTCGGGATGAACTTGTTTGAGAACTGCACCCTGGTAAGCTTCCGCACCACATATAATCAGTAGCATTACTTACCCTTGTAGATGTAGGAGGAATAGGTTTCCTTCCTGGTCTTGCCACGCTTCTTCTTGTCGCCAGTGGCAGCAGCGGCGGTCTTCTTGCCAGCTTCCTTCTTCTCAGCAGGAGCCTTTCCAGCGGGTGCCTTGCCACCAGTGCTAGGCTTCTTCTCGGCAGCTTTGGGAGGCATTTTTGTGAGTAGGAGTATCAAAAGAGACTATCGACTAAGTAGAGCTTGAAAGAATAGATTGTGGTTGAGTGAGAACACTTGACGTTCGAAAGGTTGTGCAGATGGATTGAGAAGGAAGATGAGAATGATGGAGACGCGGTGACGAGGGAGGCGCGCTACTTATACCAGCCTGCGAAACCCCAGTTGATCTGAAGTACGCGAAAGAGACAGAATTTCAATACGGTAACGGTTTGGTATGATTTGTATGATTAAAGCAAGGTAAACACGTTCAAGTAATACAAACACTAGGGCGAAGCCGTGCCAAGACGGATATAATGATTATTACACTGAAATATTACAGCACTTAACTTGATTTGGAACCCCAACACTATGCTAGGCCACACAGATCGTAGCTCACATATGTGGCCAAGCTATTGAGCACTGGAACATGATCTTTCTGGTGATTGGTCAGCCCCGCTAAGCGAGAGGTTGATCTGGAAGGCGTTTGGGCAGGCCAACGTCACCCTGAGCGCGTCATTATAAATCTCCTGGCTTTCCTCGCGCTGACCACCCGGTCTTTTGGTTTACTTCAACGACTGTCCATCTACTACTCGTCCCCCGCGTCGATTGAAAACCATCAACTCCACCGAAGCTACTACAACAGTTTAATCTTAACCACTTAATCAGACAAATGACTGGAGGCAAATCCGGAGGCAAAGCCAGCGGCAGCAAGAACGCGCAGTCGTAAGACAACCCTGTTTCCCAGGATCCTTCGGACCATGCTGACATCTCGAATTTAGGCGCTCTTCTAAGGCTGGACTTGCCTTCCCCGTCGGTCGTGTTCACCGTTTGCTGCGCAAGGGTAACTATGCTCAACGTGTCGGTGCTGGTAAGTCTTTTTTACCCGATTTAGCTCATTGTTTCTGTTCTTGCGGTTCTGACCATAATGCCTTTGTACAGGTGCCCCGGTTTACTTGGCTGCTGTTCTTGAGTATCTCGCTGCTGAAATCCTGGAGTTGGCTGGTAACGCTGCCCGTGACAACAAGAAGACTCGTATCATTCCTCGCCATCTCCAGCTCGCCATTCGCAACGATGAGGAATTGAACAAGCTGCTTGGCCACGTTACAATTGCGCAGGGTGGTGTCTTGCCCAACATTCACCAAAGTAAGTTTCGCACTTGGATTTCGTCTTCGCTATATTTTCTAACCCATTTCCAGATCTTCTACCCAAGAAGACTCCCAAGAGTGGAAAGGGTCCTAGCCAGGAGCTTTAATTGTCATATTTCTCTTTCTTTCCTGTTCGGGTTTTCTCAATCGGCGTGCTTTGGTTTCTCATGATGTGATAACGGGGTTCTGGACTGGGCACAATTATGGCTCTGTTTTTCATGCTTTGATTTATGGTTGTACATTATGCTTACGGGCATTGAATGATACCGACAGCTTTCTTAATGAAATTTGTCTTTCGGAGACGACCGAAATTTCAGTAGATCTGACGCTAAGTAGGCAAGGGCCTGTACATTCCGTCATTCTTATAGTACGCCACACGAGCATTTCTGCTCTTTAGAAATTTTTCAAAGCAACGTCCAGGGTATGAGTTTCGGGGTACGTTACTAGAACGCCATGTCTATCTCCGGGTAGGGAACTCATTGTAAACTCGTTTAATTGACGCAAATACATGGATCTGGTACGCCGTCCAAGCTTAGTGGGCATTTGCATGTTGAGAAGCATCTAAGACTTATGTTAATCGAGGCAAGGCAAAGTTGACAGATCAAATGGTGTAACATACAAGGTAACTGCCGAGCAGGAAGGTTTCTCTCGTATTTACTGCCTGGAAGACATTATCAGTCAATTGCGCATGATGCAGCATTTTCTAACTTAGCAGACTTACCACCGGGGGCAGTAGGTGCGCGGTACGGATCCGGGTGTTTCCAAGTTTCCAGTAATTTCTCGGTTTCGCGGAGTAGCACCTGCCCAATTTGTTCGTATAAGCTAATGACTCGGCGTTGTGCAACGGCCAGACGGTTGCTGGGGCCAGAGGGAGTTTACTCTTTGTTGACGAGGATCACGGACGTCCTTATTTGCCTCAAACAGGGACCGAATATACACGGCTTGTCCTCTCCATACGTGTCTGTGAACTGCCCAGTCAAGGGCAAGCTTGAGACTCCGTCGGTAGAGTGACCTGAAGGCGAAGTTGAGATTAGCAAAGCAGCCTATTCTTCCTTCTGAGAGCAACTTACGCAACGGCGTTAGCAGACATGATTAATCTCTGTCAATGTCGTAGGGGAAGAAGACCCTGAGGCCTGACACAACGACTGCAGAGAGAGAACGCTAGCTGAAGAATAAATTAGTAAATTTCTAGTGATTGTTCGCAATCCTGTCCACGTACTACAAAGGAGTTTCTCTTGAGATGTGTACGCAAGTGAATTTGATAGGGTGCGCCGAATCTGCCGTCTTGGTCTTTACGGAAAGCCGAATAAGCGTAACAATAATACTCCGTCATCCACCGGTCGCATGGAACGCAGATGATGTGCGTGTGTTGCTGAGGGAAATTCCGGTTCTTTCGGCCCGGGGTTGAGCTTTCGTCCCTGGTCACTGCGCTAACTTAAAGTTCCGTCACTCTGCTATCCTGGACCTTCGTACTGCAACGTCGAGTGAAGACGTGTTGAACCGGTCTTCAGTAGGTTATTCTGGGCCATACATTTCCTCCTCTACTCGTATCAGACAATCGTGCCAGATTCTCCTGCTCCTTAACTTCTGATTACCTACCCAACAAATCGCGTGAAATATGGCCCCTAGGTTACCATTTCACCGTCTGTCAGAGCTACACCTGAGGTCTATTCCTCGAACAGCTCAATGCTCCCGCTTGCCTTGCATTGGTGCTCGCAGGAGTATCACCTCTTTGGCGCTTAGAAGGCATACGCCTGGCGCGTTTTTGCTGCATGCTCCGTCCTCGGGGTAAGGACATCGGAGGTTCAAGCTCATTTAGCTGCTCTGGCTGACCATCGACATTCCATAGAGCCAATATACCCCGGAGCAATCTCGCCCGCCTCGGTGGCTATCAGATCAGAACTTACGGTATCGCAATTTGCATTAGTTTCTAAATGACGTTCTTCGCTGATCTCGCTGCAGCTGATACCATAGTGAAGGTCCCTCAAATGGCAGAATCGATCACTGAGGGTACATTGAAGCAATTCTCGAAGCGTAGGTCTCTTGACCCGTTTCCTAATCTTTAACTCACCGTTCGGCAGAGGTGGGCGATTACGTTGAGCGGGACGAAGAAATCGCTACAATTGAGACCGACAAGGTAGGGTTGCAGCGAATGTCACATACCGTCCACATTGCTTGAAAGTTTTGCCAACCCATTGCAGATTGACGTGTCGGTCAATGCGCCTGAGTCTGGGACTATTAAGGAGCTCCTCGTGAACGAAGAAGACACTGTGACGGTTGGCCAGGACTTGATCAAACTCGAATTAGGTGGCGCTCCTGGGCCAAAAGAGGAGACAGCTACCGAGAAGCCAAAGGAGCCCGCAGATGTCGAGAAGCGGCCGCCTGCTGAATCCAACAAGCCACAGCCGTCTCAGGCCTCCAAAGCTCCATCGCCTCCGCCTGAACAGCCTCCTACTTCCAAGCCTCAGCCCCCTGCTCCTAAGTCAGAGACTCCTTCTGACGTTAAACCGAGCTTCGAAGGTCGTGAGGAACGCAGGGTGCGTTACAGTTCCCCTCAACGACTGTGTTGTCTCTGTGACATTCGCTAACTCGCGGCTTTTCTGTTACTTCTTGGGGATAATAGGTGAAAATGAATAGGATGAGGCTGAGAATAGCCGAGCGCCTGAAGCAGTCCCAGAACACCGCTGCCTCGCTCACTACCTTCAACGAAGTTGACATGTCATCCCTCATGGAATTTCGGAAACTCTACAAAGATGATGTACTGAAGAAAACCGGTGTCAAACTTGGCTTCATGAGCGCTTTTTCCCGTGCCTGTGTCCTAGCTATGAAAGACGTCCCCGCCGTTAACGCATCGATCGAAGGCCCAAATGGTGGTGATACCATTGTTTACCGTGACTACGTTGACATCAGCGTGGCCGTTGCTACTGAGAAGGGCCTTGTGACACCTGTCGTCCGTAACGCTGAAACCATGGACCTCGTCGGAATTGAAAAGGCCATAGCAGAGCTTGGCAAGAAGGTCAGTAGCATCATGTGACAGGCTTGCATCTTGTGCGACTGATATGTTTTTAGGCGCGGGACAACAAGTTGACAATCGAGGATATGGCTGGTGGCACGTTCACCATTAGCAACGTAAGCAGCATGATTCATGAAGTGATAAAATCGTTGACATTGTTTTAGGGTGGTGTTTTCGGCTCTTTGATGGGCACTCCGATCATCAACTTGCCCCAGACTGGTCTGTGCTCTCTCCCTCGTTATTTTCGGACCGTTTCTGACTTTTCAAAGCTGTTCTTGGACTCCATGCAATCAAGGACCGGCCAGCAGTCGTGAACGGTAAAGTGGAAATTCGTCCAGTATGCATTGCCATAATGCCCCAGCTTGATGTCAGGCGCTAACGTTTCCAGATGATGTACCTTGCCCTGACCTATGATCATCGACTTTTGGATGGACGGGAGGCAGTCACTTTCCTTATCAAGGTTCGTTGATTTTTCTTCGTTGTTTGACACGTTCCGCTGATTACGATTCCTTCAGGTCAAGGAATACATTGAAGATCCTCGTCGGATGTTGCTCGGCTAGAGGCTTTTGAGTCCGTCTAAGGGTGCCTGCTGCTCCTTTTTTTGTAAAATACTATCTTATTGGCCTTGGCATTCACAATACACTTCGTTCGAATTGCTCCCGAGACCTTTGTTCGGCTATCGGCATAATTTATGAATTGTAGTTCATGCGCTCAAAGTGAGACCGGGCTATGTTGCTTGTAATCTTTATGCCAGACGTATTATCATCGCAGTCCAATCTTGGTTTTCAGCCCCTGTGTTTCCGCTCGGCTCAGTCCATAGAGCTTCCCTCTCTCAAGCTGTAACAGAACCGGGGGGTTCAGGCGCCTCATGAGATCAAACAGGAACTCGATAATTATGGTCCCAAGTTGATGCGTAGGCAGGCGTTTTAGTGCGGTTTCAAGGTCCCTGGACGGGTGAACGCCGAGCGGTGGCTGTAGGTAAGTTTCATACTTATCAACCACTTGTTGCCATTCAGGCCTTTCTTTAACCGCCTCTGGTGCTTGGGCTATCAATTCATAAAATATGTCGGGCGTTGTACTCCCATGAGAACCATGTTTCTCGGATGCAACTTTTAGCATGAGCTGGGCTGCAATATCGGCCCAGTTAGTGTCGGACAAATGATCATTTGCGACGATGCACAGGGAGAGGAATGCATAAGCAATGGCAGGACCGATGTCCAGTGTGGGTTGGGTACGGTCGTTGTTCGTATCAATGTGTGGTCTCTGGGCCTGGGGTTTCAAGTGTGGTGGGTATATTTGACGATCAGTCGAGAGCGCAGTTCCTTCCTTCTGCTCTCCGAATCCATGCGGTAGTGATTGATTGTTTGCTGTTGTGCGATAATATTGATCCTGGTTGCATGTAGTGATGAATTCGAGAAGCTGAAGCTTGATGCGCATGTCCTGGGACATTGTCTCGGCATGTATCAGCGTCAGGGCCAGGCCTGTGTGAGCGATAAACGACGAGATGAGGTCCATGGTCAGCACAGCCTTTGGTGCTTACGACGGTGTTTGTATTCCAACATACTATTGATAGTTTGGATCAACCAATTGGTATTCTGATCCTTGCAGTGCCATCGCTTCTCTCTTTCTTGTGTGCAAAGGAACGTGTTGATGACAGTGCACAGCAGATAGTCAAGTATAATTGTATCAACCTCAACCTGAGTGTCTGAATCTACCTTGCGGTCTTTCATCTGGTCCTATCTGACTTGGTGAGCTGATTCCACTTTGAGCGCTTGATTGTTCGGGAGTGTGACATTTACTCAGGTGGATGTTGGAAAAGAGTTATGTATAACGCCATCCATGTGATTATGACTCGAGACTTAACTAATTAAGCCCATTGGATGGACTTGCTTGTAAACTAAATGGTATAAGTGATTGATCTATAACTGCTGCCTGCCCAGTACAGTATTACCGTCCGTGTTGTTATATATATGTACATCTAGACATGGTGTGGGTCACACACCCAGGCATTAGTTACTGCCATGTACACTGTACATGGCATATGAATTGATACAATGTAGGCTAACAAGTGAAGCTACATCATACCACAGAGAGTACATAAAAGCACGTATCACTTAATTTGTAGGGAAAGCCAATAGTCTGCAGGTATACAGAAAAGTAAAGTCCAGAAACAACAACAATCAGCCTGTCAATCATGTAGATCAAGATCCATCATACATACCTGCTTTTGATGTACCGATAGGCCAGAAAAGCCAGTAAGCCCATAGACGCAAAGGGCAAAAAAAAGCAGCTAAAGAGTACAACTGTATCTGTATCCACTTATCATCATTACATTATGATATGACGCATTAGTGAGATTGATGCACCCCAAGAAGAGCCTTTCCACTCATGCAACAGTGCTCCGATGGCCTCCGCACAAGATGTGCTTCGTAATATTGACATAATAATGGGAATCTCCCGCGGCAGGTGACCTCTCCGGAGGCGCCCATTCTACCCATCACTTTAACATCATACGTGGTTGTCTGACTGGGATATTCTCTCAAATCTAACAGGCGATTTCTGAATGCTGAAAAGGCACATAAAGACAACCACACTGCTGAGAAAATTCACAAGGGAGCAGTCATCAATGGCTTGGTACTGTTCCGGCACCACAAATGCTGAGTTGATCGAGAACCTCTCCAAGGAAGGACTGATTAAAAATGATCGGGTGAAAAAAGCTATGATGGGCGTGAGCATCACTTTGCTTCTACCGCTGCCACTACCCAGCATCCTCCACTTCAGTAGCCCAAGAATAAAACCGGTTCAATGCCTGATATTCTGACACTGAAATTCCAAGGTTGATCGCGCCCATTACGCGCCCTCGAGGCCATACTCCGACTCGCCGCAACCTATCGGACATGGAGCGACGATTTCGGCGCCACATATGCATGGCCATGCTTGCGAATACTTAGTTGAGTTCCTCAAGCCCGGATCCCGGGTATTGGATATCGGCTCAGGATCCGGATATTTGACGCATGTTCTCGCCAATCTTGTTACAGATAGGTCTACCAATGATGCCAGTGGTCAGGTTATCGGAGTGGACCATATCCCGGAACTTGTTGACCTGGCCCGGGCGAACATGAGAAAGTCAGAGCAAGGCCGCACTCTCCTAAATTCCGGAAAAGTGAAATTCATCACCGCCGATGGTCGGCTTGGCTGGAGGGAAGGGGCCCCTTACGATGCAATCCATGTGGGCGCAGCGGCAGACAAGCTACACCCTGTTCTCATTGAGCAGCTACGTGCCCCAGGACGCTTGTTCATACCCGTTGATGTGGAAAATGGCGATGGTACCCTAAGTAGCCTTGGTCTTGGTGGTGGACAGTACATATGGGTTGTTGACAAGAAAGAGGATGGCTCTGTTCACAAGGAGAAGATTTTCCAGGTTAGCTACGTGCCCTTGACGGATGCGCCGAAGCGATCAGCCTAACAACCCCCCTCACCCCTGCTGTGTTAATTCACCTAGCTAGTGATAATCTAAAACTCCCGTTATGAAAGGGAGAAAAAGAAAGATAATAAATGGGAGGGATACGAGGTGGAGCGGACAGAATGCAGATTCACAAGGAGAATTGAATGCCGTATCACACTTTATATCTGACTGAGTACGTACACTTTGCAGTTCCGAAGGGAGGCGGTATTGATATCCTGATAGGGGGGCAATGGTAACGTGCTTTTCGGGCAACGCGAAAGGGCAGAGATGAGTGGATAAGGTAGACTGCACCATGAGCTGCAAGGTCGGTGGTATAAGAAATATGCTAACGGAAAGGAAAGCCTCGGGGAAAGTTGAATCCTTGACCCGAGAATTTGAAATGTGGCGCGCCTTGCTGGAAGAAAAATTGCTGGCCGCCGGCGGCACCAAAGGGGTTTCCCTGGAAGGGATTTCCCCTCTGCGACTCGGGGTCGTTGGGGTCGTCGCCATTGTCATACCGTGCTCTAAGTTCGGGGTCAGACAAAACTTCATATGCCTCGTTTATAGCGGCCATCTTATTCTCAGCTTCCTCCTTTGAGACCCCCTGCGAGACGGCTTTGTCAGGGTGATGCTGCTTTGTCAACTGCCGATAAGCTCTTTTGATTGTGCGCTCATCTGAGTCACGACTGACACCCAGAACTTTGTAGTAGTCCTTATGCTTGGAGCGTTTCAATAATACATGTGCTTTCTGCATAAGCGTCTGGACTTCCTGAGATCCCGGGTGATGTTCTCTGGCTTCGTTGAGGGTGCGAATAGCGTCCTCGAAACGCTCCTCGTCGAGCGCCATCTGACTTTTGAATAGAAGGACAGCCAATGAATGTGGTTTCAGCCGGAGAATTTCGGTGCAGTACGGAGCAGCCCGTTTGAGCATACCAACCTGTAAACAAGCATCTCCAGTCAGCTGCGGCAAATAGAAAGCATAATCTTCTGGAACCACTGACCTCACGGTAGGCTTCGCACGTCCGTTCAAGTAAAGATGAGTGCAAATTGCTCGGGGCTGCAGGATGGATGTGGCCAGCCTCTCTTGCACTCTCAAAGTCGCCCTTGACCTCATCAAGCAAACCCTTCTCATTCCCTACACCTACAAGAAGGTTGATAGCGTTGTTGAATCTTCGTGAATCCATCGCTTTTTGTAGTTTCTCCAGCCTCTTCATTAGTTGTCTCTCTTTTTTGTAAAGCTGAGCACATGCTTTCGAATCTGGATCCGAATGCAAACATTTGCGAATTTGCGAGATACCCCGTTCACTGTCGCCTAGCGCATAAAATGACATTGACGATATTTGCAAATGAGGCTCGATCAAGCCCGGAGACAATTGCAGGACATGAACAAGGTCGCTGATACCTTCTTCCACTTCACCCTTCTCGAAGCGACAATGTGCCCGAGTTTGCCGTAAACCAAGTGCTGTGCTCGCCTTGAGTATCGCTGTATTTGCTCGACCTACACAATCGTCCCACGCACCCTGTTTCTCCGCGTCGAATGCCTGGAAGGCGGCATCGCGTGCCTCTCGGGTTTCTCTATACTCCTCCGAAAGCTTCTTGCCAGCTCTTTCAAAGTCATGCAGTGCACCGTCCCAGTCAGCAGTTTTGGCCCTGAGGCGAGCTCGTTGGAGGAGTGCGCTTTCAAAGTCCGGTTTGAGCTGGAGGACACGGTCAAAATCGTCTAATGCCTGCGCAGTTCGTCCAAGAGACAGGTAAGCAGCACCTCGCTGGAAGATTGTGAGATAATTGCTCGGATCTCGCGAGACGGCTGCATCGAAGTAGAGCAGAGCATCGCGTGCAGAACCACTAGCAAGATGGGCTTTTGCCGAAGCGACCAGAGACGACAGAGGAGTATCAGGGGGTATCTCCGCAGACTGGAGGCCACAAGCAACTGAAAAACAGGCCAGAAAAACCGTGAAGGACTCCAAAGTAATGAGCATGTTGGCAGTTCAACCCATAAGATATCGTTGAGACCTATGGTATCACACGAGTCTCAGACAAACAGCGCATAATAGGATTCACTTCTCAGCAGCACAACCTGATTCAAAGTGCGAGCTGTGAATAAGTCAGGTAGATGGCTTGAACTATGAAAAATCCGAAGGACAACAACACAGCAACAAGACCTTGAAAGAGGTCGCTAGGCGAGTTACATAGTGAGGCATTCTTTATATACAATTCGACCAAGTTTCGTAGATATTCCATCTAGAATATGCTTAACCTCCAGTCTGGCCTTTACAGACCCATTACAGAATACTGTATTGAAATTGTAATATACTCACGTGATGAAACCGGCGGATGAATAAGTTCAAAATGCACATCCAGAAATCCGCGAATTTGAAGGCGGGAGCTCCCTACTTAATCAGTGTATAAGGGTTGCAGCCCAGAAGCAGTGTGATTGAAGGGGCGCTTACTACCTGGTCTCCAAAAGCAGGTGTTTTAATCGAGCCACTTTAATCGGCCATAGTTCCATCACCTAGCCCGCGCTACATAACGCGCGCAAAGCATTGAGATTGGGCTTCTTTCTTTCATACCGCTCTTTCTCTCATATTCAACTCACAATGATTGGCTTCTCATGGATATGCTCTCGATGTCTTGCACGATCTGCTCGGACCACATTGAGCCATAGGGCCATCTCACAACAGCGAAACTTGAACACGAGTAGGGATACTTTGACTGCTGCGTAAAGCGAAGGGTCTCCTGCATACATATGGGCTAATCTTTCTATCAGGTTCTCATCTCTCACCGGCGTTACTAACCCGGGCCCGCTCCTTGGCGACTGAACATACCAGGCTTTCCGCCCAATTGACGGACTCGTTTGACGCGAAGATTGCGAAGCGAGTGGGCGAACTTGCATCGATCGCGCAAGCGTTGCAGGAATGGGATCGCGCGCACGAGGCAAGTCGAAAATGAAAGATTTGCTTTTTCTCTTGAATCTTGACTAACATGATTATTCTGATCTCAGTCCCTATCGGAACTCAGATCCTTGATTGAAGATCCAGAGACCGACGACGAGCTAAGATCTCTTGCTCTTGAAGACGTAAAAAGTAGCGACCGTACTTTGCCAGCCATATCAAAGACCCTGAAAAACTCCCTTGTTCCTCGCCACCCCTTTGCAGATCTTCCCTGCCTACTGGAAATTCGCCCCGGCGCAGGTGGAGACGAAGCTGGCCTTTTTGCTTTCGAGCTTTTGAGGATGTACACTGCGTTTTGTACTCGACGTGGCCTACGGTCCAATGTGATCAAGCTGGATGTGCAAGACGGGCCTTCGGATGATCGCCTGAGCGAAGCAGTCGTAGAGATTGACGCAGACGGAGCGTATGATCTTTTGAGGACTGAGTCTGGGGTCCATAGGGTGCAGAGAGTGCCGGCCACGGAGACTAAGGGACGTACCCATACAAGTGCGGTCAGCGTGATGGTTCTTCCCAGCTTCCCAGAGGCAGGGGCCAGTATGGACAGTGCTTTAAATTTCGACGACCCAAACAGTGACTACTATGTTGATCCGCAGGAAGTTCGCACCGAGAAGATGCGCGCGAGCGGAGCCGGAGGTCAGCATGTAAACAAAACCGAGTCAGCCATCCGGTTGACTCATATACCCACTGGAATTGTCGTTTCAATGCAGGATTCCCGGTCTCAGCATGCGAACCGGAAAAAGGCATGGCAGGTGCTACGAGCAAAATTGGCCGAGGCTAGACAAGAAGCTCGTGAGCAGGAACTTGTTGAGTTAAGAAGAGGTGTTCTTGGAGGCGTCGCTCGGATGGGTCGTGGTGACAAAATCCGCACATACAATTATGGACAGAGTCGTTGCACTGACCACCGTAGCGGCATTACAGTGCACAATCTGGACAATGTCCTTGATGGCGGCGAAAGTCTTGAGACTATAATGGATAGTGTCAGAACTTGGCTGGCTGATCGGGAGATAGCAGCAATATCTGCAGAAGATTCGATAAATGCCGTCGGGGAGTAAAGTTGTCCTTCACATTGGTGCCGAGATTGATATTAGCCTGCACGATCATCCTCAACTAACTGTTAGGTATTGGCCATCGGTGCGGTGAAACAAAGTTCACTTCAATCTGCCAACCTTGAACCCGCTGACTCCGCTTCGACATATATACAACTAAAGCATCCACTACTTCATATAGTGCTCCGGCGTCATATGTATTTTCTCTCAGGATCGATAGAGTCGAGAGCCTCCATTGTCTTCTCATACCTGATTGTAATGAGTTAGCACCCGAAAGTGTGGACGAGAATGACTTAATCCAACGAACATTGTGAACACGATTCCTCCACTCATGATCAATCTTGCTAGACGTGGTACAGCCCCTGACCAGAACGTAAGCAAGCCTTCGTCTTTGAAAATTCGCGCGGCGCAAACGAAGCTATTTTTGTAATTTTTACTAGCCTCGAGCGATTGCATTCTGCTCAGGGGTAAGTACCAATCTATAGGCGCAAATTTCAAGTTCTTAAAGGCTCACCTGGTTTTGACAGTGTCAAGAGGCTGCGTCACATAGCTGCGTGGAAGGTAATATTAGCATATCGACTAGCGATGGACACAGCTCACAATGTCGTCCTCCGGCTACGAAGGCTTACGTACACTGTAATAAGGCCCGCTATCCCACCAAGAGCGAATGTACTGGCAGTTCCCAGCTTCTCGCCGGGTGCGACGTAGCCCTGAGCCAACTGCTTCAACATTGTGTAGCTTGAGAATCTGGTCGCCGAGTTGGCCGCCTGTCTCGCTGTTGTAGGAACGAAGCCTTGAAAAAAGCCCCGAAGACCTCTTTCCTGAAAGATGATCTTACTGCCGTGCAGGAATCCACGCATACGAGGATTTGGGGATTTTCTATCGTCAATTCTGTTTCCCGTGCGTCAGTTGCACGGCGCACCCTGGTAACAGTTTGTGACCCAAATAGTTGGGGGATGGGGTAGGGTATTGTGAGGGACAACGAACAACTGTGTCTTGATGCTTTCGAATGGAGTCACTGCTAATAAAGACTCTGTGACTCCAGCCCCGAAGCCGGCAATCACGGTCCTTGGTCCGGAAATATTGCCATTTTCATCCTGAAGTAGAGATTTGAAGGTGTCGAAGGCAACGAAGCCTTACGAATATTCTAGCGTGAGTCTCTATCAAAAAGCTTGGACAATGGTAGCGCAGCACTACCAGATGGAACTTACGGATGCCAGCCTTAAGAGAATTCCCTATGATCAAAGTCGTGCATCCGGCATACCATTGTTTTCCAAACGGTGGCCATGGGAGCTTTTTGGCATCGGGGAGCCTGCGATTGAGCTGCGATCGTGTCTTCGCGACTGCACAATTTGATTAGCCTGACATATCATAAAAGATAAGATAGTCTGACACTCCGCTGGATAAGTTATCGCTGCTATGGAGTCAGCAGGGGTATTTTCAAGTAACAGGCGATTCCAGTGACAGTGAACTTGCCAATCTCAACCGCTCCCGCGGAAGAGCCCGCTATGATAGACCGCAGGCTGCTGGGCTATAATGAAGTCAGTGATTGCGCGAAACCGGGAATAACCTTGAAATTACTGACCTTGGACTTGGAATCTTTTTCCGCAGTAGCCATTTTCAAATGCGAACTCTGGTCGACGCCCGTAAGCAATAAATTTTATTGCTGTAGTTAGGGAGAGCCGGTATTAGGGATACGGGATGCAACATATGCACCAAACGCAAAATAGCCTTCTCCAGTATCTATGGGGTGACTTAGTCTCCACAAGTTATTTATGAGAAACCTTTATCACGGGTAGGTCTCCTAGCCAATATACATGAGAAGTGTTCGAGAGCTTTGACAGAGGGAAACATTTACATTTTACTAGATGCTACCAATGCTAAGGCTATCATATACCTAGAAGGGGTTGGTACCATCCAGAACTCCTCTGCCAGCGTTTTTCTAAATTTTCTCCCCATTTTCCTTCCACCCAAGTTCTCCTCTTCCTTTTTTGTTTTTTTTGTTCCTTTTTTTATTTTTGTATGTCGGGAGCGTCGGTATGTGCGTTTTTCTCCTTTCACTCTTTGATTATAACATACTCTCATCAGAGATGAACCGAACCCTGTAACATCTGAATCATGCAGACCCAACCCTCGCTCCTTGGATTCCTTACCAGTATCTGATTTCTGCGTCGCTTCGCACAATGCGGCAAGGACGGAAGACAAATTAATGGCGCAACTCCCTCCACCTTGACGTAAGATTGATGGAAGTTTTGGTATGCCGAGCCAGGGTGAGCAGACTCAAGAGCCCTCATTGCCCATATGTCCTAGCTTTCATGCTCGCCGGATAAGCCCAGGACACAGGTAACTTAGTGAGAATGGAGAATGAGAAGATGGAATCCGAAAAGTAATCAGACAAAAACTCCCAAACCCCATCAGATGTACGTAGCCAGGTAGGAGTCTGAGATCACAAAAGTGCAGCCTCGAAGCCAAGACGGACATGAAAGGACTGAAACACAACTGGCCCGTCAGAAGCTGTCAGACGCTGTCAGAAGCTGAGGTATGCAGCCGTAATTCTGGTTCAGTTGACAAGTCGAAGCCAAAGATAAGCCGATAATGCACCAGTGCCTTGCAGAAAGACACCTGTGAACGCCGAAGAGTGACACCGATCGAAGAACACCCTGAAACGCCAACCCGTTGCTTTGAAACAATGGAAGGTATGTACAAGTTAAAAGAAAAAGAACTCGAGAAACCCGGCATAACTGGCACCGGATCAAGCAAATAACGAGCTCAAATGATGCAGTGAAGGTAGCGGCTAAAGAAAAAGCCACATACACTACAATGAAGTAGTGCAAACCGTACAGACAATTCGAAAAACCCGCTTCTCAAGGTAAAAGAGGAGAGAACGGCAAGATGTGCGCGCAGTAAATCAGAGGGAATAAATAGATCGCCAGAGCCAAGCAAATGAAGTGGAAGAAGGACAGGAGGCCCCAAACTGCGGGAGGGTCTCTCATTGGTCGAGTGCAAGCAAAAGGGAGCGAACCGACCGTAGACATTCAGGTCATTATTCCAAGCAAGTGAGAGATAACAGCAGCGAAATCATGACACCGGCGCTGTTGAAGTCTTGCCACTGTGATGGCCCTGAGGGTGACCGAACTTGTTGGTTTCGGTTTGTGCGCTCCGGCGCTGACCCTGCCCCCGTCCACGGTATGAACCCCGGCCTCGATTGAACTGGTATTGCCCACTATTTGGATGATTATGATGGCGGCGGTCTGCAGTGCTCGTATTTGCCGGAGTATTGATTATTTGACGTGGCTGTGATGGATTGGAGATAGGACGAGGAATTGTCTCTGGAGAATCATAGACATATAGCTTCTTGTCAATATTCTGGGGAATGGGCTGTATTTCCGTTCCCAGTTCCTGCTCGATCTTGTACAAATTGAAGCGGTCATCCCAATTTATGAGATTGATGGCAAGACCCAAGTGTCCGAAACGACCAGATCGACCGATCCGGTGAAGGTATGTTTCCGCATTCTTCGGAAAGTCGAAGTTTATGACAACATTCACAGCTTGAATATCGATACCTCGAGTGAGCAAATCGGAGCAGACGAGGTTGCGACACACACCATTGCGGAAGTCGTGGAAAACTCGATTTCTGTGTTGCTGGAGCATTCGAGCGTGCGAGTAGAAGCAAGAGTAGCCCAACTCTGTAATCTTCTTCGCAAGAAGTTCAACTCGGTTGGTGGAGTTGCAGAAAATGATCGACTGGTTTATTTGAAGCTTTGAGAATAGGGTGTTCAGGCAGTGGACCTTCTGTTTTTCCTCCACAAAAGCGTAGTATTGGGTGATTCCTCGTAGAGTGAGTTCATCCATAAGGTTAATCTCATAAGGATTGCGCATATGTTTATCCTTTATGAAGCTTATCAGTGGACAGCTCGAAACGAACAAAAATAGTCTCGCCTTACCTTGAATGATTTGACAATCAACGGAAAGGTGGCACTGAAGAGCATCACCTGTCTGTCCTTTGGGTGAAACGATAAGAGCTGCTCAATGACGGGTGTAAATTCAGGGGACAGCAACTTGTCAGCTTCATCCATGACGAATGTAGGACACTCCGAAAGATCCGCAACGCCTTTGCTCGCCAAGTCCAATACTCTTCCTGGAGTCCCCACGAGAATGTGCACAGCGTCGTTCAGTCTTATGATATCATCCATCAAACCCGTCCCTCCGGTAGTGACCATGACGTTGATCCCCAGATGCTTTCCAAGAGTCTTGCAAACTTGGGATGTTTGGAGTGCAAGCTCTCTTGTTGGTACAAGGATGAGTGCTTGAGTCTTTGTGCTCTTAGGATTGATGCGTTCCAGAGTAGGGATAACGAAAGCTGCTGTCTTGCCGGTGCCGTTCTTTGCGCGAGCCAGAATATCGCGGCCTGTAAGAGCGACTGGTATTGTCTCTTCTTGAATTGGAGAAGGTTTCTCAAACCCCGCCTCAAATATGCCCATCATAAGCTCTCGTTTGATATAAAAGTCTTCAAATTCAAGACCTTTAGTGGCGGTCACATCCTACAACTCGGTCAGACACGATGCACATGCAAGAGTGACACCATTATTAGGCCACAAACCTCAGTCTGCGGTCTTGCGTCTTTCGCAGGCATATTCAATTGTTCTTTCCACCTCATTTCCGAGTTTGCTTCCCTGTAGAGGGTGTAAGAGTTGAGTTATCCCGAACTGAGGACAGCTGCCACTTGGTAACGTGAACATACCCTAAGCTTGTATTGTTGAGTTGATTTGCAAGAGCGTCTGCCATGATGAGCCAGAAGTAGGAAAAAAAGAATGTCAAATTTCTCCAAGTCTAGAGAAAAATGGTAGGCCAAGTTATTCCAGGAATAAGACAGTGTTGTTGCAACGGAGATTGGAAGAATGATTGATTGGAGAACCGGGATAGGAAGTCCTCGAAGTTGTGGTTTCGAATCCTGAGCAGCTCCCAGAGATTTAGAGGTAAGACTGGTATCAGAGCAAAAAGTCTGCGTTCCTGTTCAATCAATACAAGGCGAGTACGGTTCCAGTTAGCGAGGTTATAAGTCTAAGTTTGTCCGAATCTGCTCCAGAGAGACCACTCGCAAGCGAACCGATGATAGGAACGAGGCTTGGAAGCTCAAGGTCTTCCGGGATGGATGAAGATTGTCGAAAGTATGGAAAGTTGAAGAAGACAGGCGTGCGGTGGTCGATTGGATAGTGGGAGATCGAGATTAGAAGCCCACAGACAATAGGACTTGAGTCAGTAGATTTTAGATGGTTATAAGAAGAAGTCACTGCAGTAATGCAAGGTGTTGTATGTGGAGGGAAAACTTCTTGAGTGAGTAGAGTCGTACAGGTAAGTGAATAATAATGGAGATGGTGCGATGACCACTGACCAGTAGGTGATGAGTAGGGCCCTTGCCGCCTTCGAAGGGTCCACTACCCGACCTTACTGAGCAGTCAATGTAACTAGCCCAGTACATGCCTACTCACTGCTCGAGTCACTATCTATTACGATCTGGAAATGACTGTTCGCTTTCGAAGAGCGCAAAGGGCACAAAGGGGCCGTCTCTTATGCATTTTGCACATTTAAGCTACAATAACCAGGGATGATCGACCTACGTAATTTAATGCTACTGAAATTCCTTCGAGTTCACTTTGCTGGGCATTTCCCTTTATCTTGAATCGATTTCTATTCAGCAGGGTATATCTAAGTTGGCGCTCGGAAAGACGATGAAACCAGGAATCGAGACAGACCACTTATTCGTCGAAACAAACGAGGGAGGAACCTGTAAATCAGGCATCTGATCCTGTTCAAAATAGAAGCCTCGTCTGGCCACGTTCTGGCTCTGCCAACCTACACATGATCATTAGTCACAACACAACACAACACTATTTTTCCGTATGCTGACGTACTCTTTCACTCGAACATCCGGTGCCAGGGTGATTTCAGCTCTAGAACCCGGTGTTATAAGTATGAATTGTCGCCCAATGGACCGCCGGGCAGCGAGCATCTGCCATGAACCGTTAAAGCAAATTCAGTACAGGTTGCTTTGCAAGAGAACTCACGAGCATATCAATCGCCATTTTCCTGTTGATATGATCCATATATACGTCACTGTCAAAATACCAATCAGTCAATGAGAAATATACAGCACAGCGCTGACTTACAATTCATCCAGGCAACGGACTGGGGATCCCATGGCCTCCCAGAGCGCCAACAAGAGACAAACTTGCGAGAATGATTTCTCGCCACCGGACAAAGTCTTCGCACCACGACCCGCACTATCCTTTGTTATGTCAGGCTCGACCTAGGCAACTCGTCAGATCCAGTGACCATGCTCGACGGTACTCAACATCACCTGCCTGCAAATCGAGGAGCTTGCCATTATGATCAGTCAAAAGTCGACCGCGAAAGCTTCTTTCGCTCAAGAGGTATGTAAATTGAGCTTTGGCACGAGACGAGATGTGCGACCTGAAGATGAGCCAACGAGCTTTACGATGCCTCAGAGTTGCTTTGAGAACCTGGACAAACGGTTAGCAAAGGGACAAGTTCGCCTTGTATGTAATCATCCTACGTCAGCTAGCAGTTTAAATTCCTCAATTTGCTTCATCGCTCGTT